TTGATTGATTGATTGATTGATTGCTTGATTGCTTGATTGCTTGATTGCTTGATAGATTGATTCATTGATTCATTGATTCATTCATTGATTCATTGATTTCATTCATTGATAGATTGATTTGATGGATTTGTTTGATTTGGTTGTTTTGATTGTTGTGACTGATGGTTGTTTTTTTGATTGATTTGATTGATGTGATTGAATTGAGTATGTTGATTGTTTTGATTCATTTGTTCGATGCTCATTGATTTGATTGACTTGATCTGATGCGGTTTGATGTGATTTGATTGATTGATTTATTCGTTCATTCATTGGTTCATGTATATATGTATGCATGTGTTAGTTTAGTTATCTATGATTGTGAGTATTGCCTTGTTTGTGTTTTGTCTTGAATATTGATTTGATTGTTTATTTAGTTATTCATTGTTTTTGTGGGCGTTGCTTGATTTACCGTGTTTGTGTGTATCATTTACTATTATTGTTGCTTTGACTATTACTTTTGATAGTAATAGTACGAGTATCAAACAAGTATTAGTAGTAGTACGATTATACAAGAGGAATATAATAAGTATGTGACGTATTATATGTGTGTATGCATGTACAGATACTGTGGTTTTAGGTGTATATGTGTGCAAACATTCATGGGTATATGCTCTTAGCTGATCTAACGTGCTCGTTCCCAAAGAGAGCTTGTGTTGCTTTGGTTCGCTGCCTTGAAACTCTTTGCTATCAATTGGTTCGAGTGAGAGCGTTGACAAACCGACTGCCCCCTAGGAAACGGAGCAACGTCAAATAAAGCCAGCTGAAAACATGTCCTGGCTTTGTGCTTTTCTATGTGCCATGGCCGAAAGACTGGGTTTATTTTTTCTTGAAGGCGTGAACAGGGATGGTCATCCACAGGGTAATGAGGATCCTTTGTTACCATTGTCATGAATCCTGTAAGGAGTGTTCACCATGGCACATTTATTCTTATTGAGCTGGAGAACTACGCCCTGAGCCCCATATTTTTTTCCTGTTTTCAAAACCTCCGGTTTACAGAAGTTTCGCTGAAACATGTTGCCGCAGAGTCAGATGAAACGGCCAACCTGCAATATACAGGTATGTTCTAGTTCAGTTGATTGGAAGGGCTGTTTACCTTCACCTGAACCTGCGTCTAAGGAGTCTACGAATCCGCCCAAACTCCTGTAACAGCAATATAGTCTACAAAGGCAACAGGCATAAGGGCTGAATGTGTTTGGTTTCACTGCCCTTCAATTCATACTAATCCCTGACAAATAAAGCTCTCATTGCTCATATTTATCAGACTTTTTGCTGGAAGAAGGGGACACCAGGTGCTTTTTAGCTTTCCTCTCAATTGAAAAGGTGGTACTTAATCCCCACACCGTTTGGTCCAAGCGCTGCGGCTGCAAGGTATCGCCAGCGATCTGCGCCGCGCTCTCGGCGCGAGCCAAGCCCTGACTTGTACTCGGAATACAGCTACAGCCGCTGGGCTTTCACCGTGCCCGGAGTTGCTGCGCTTGTTCCCGGTTACGAACACCACTCCTGTAGGAAATGCTACCCGAAGACGCCCGATTCCTTTCTTGTGGTCAGCATGAAAGCAAGCTCCCTAAGGCGAACGCAGTGATGCCACGACCCAAGCGTGCCTCCCATGAGAGGCTTTTGGAGGTTGCTGTGTTTTGTTCCCGAGGCTGTTTGCTGGAGCTTTGAATTTTTCCAAGCCGCTGACCAATGCATAGTGTTTAGGTCCAGTGCGGTCTACCCCAGGCTCGCGGTAGCTGCGAAACAACGGTGTGCAATCAGGATCATCCTGGACAGCCTCAGGGATCCATATGTGTTCCTTTTTTAAGGGAAGGGTCAGCAGTTTCGAGGTCAAACTGGTGGAGTGTTTGGCTGGGAGAACGATTGACCCCTGACCCTTGTGTGCGACGTTTGGACCCCCAGCCTGCTTTGTGCCCGCTTCACTCGCCCGGTGACGTTGAGTCATTAACTTGTGCTTGCCTGCATCAGGTTACGACGACTTCGACTACGACGATAGGCACGGCACTGATCCGGGATCTCCCTCATCATCGGCTCAGCCTTTCGCTGGTGTGGATTGACAGGTTTGGGGGTTGAAAAGGTATAACTCGCGTGGTTGCACTCCCTGTGCGAGCCGCATTTGTGGATGAGTATAATCATAATATATATATATATATATATATATTATAACATATACATACACCTGTCAATTGCTGCTTGTTATGTGGATACATGTTGCTGGACGATCCAGACCCCGTAAAGTGTTTGTTCTACACTGAGATGGTGGGCAGCGCCAGAAAGTCCTGACCGGATGCAACATGTATCATGCACGCCAACTGGAACTGTATGATGGCAGTCTAGTTCCATTCCAAGAAATGATGTTTGCTCCGTGAGTTTTTTCCCTGTTTTAGGCCCATGTTGGTTTCGTGCCTTGTTTTCTCAACTATCGTCCCATTTTAGTTGGCGGTGCTTCGCGGGCACGCCAGGCGCCCTTTGCCGCGCCGAGGGCGCGGCGGGCGCGGCCCGCGCAGCCGCAGCCCGCGGCGCGGCGAGCGCCGGCGCAGCAAAGGCGAGCTGCGGCTTTGTGGCTGTGGGGTCTTTGAGGGTGATTAGCCTTTGTAGCCTGGTTCATGGGGAAAGCAGAAACAACAACCCCCGACTTGTGAGGTCTCCCAATTTTGACAGACGTCCTTGTAGTGGGAGCTCAGGAACAAACCAACCTGGCTGATGAATAGGATGGTGTCCCATTGAAGAGGGAATGCTTCACTTGTTTTGCGGGGCGAAGCACTTCCTGTCAGGCCGCCAGGTTGATGAATCCGGGGTCGACGCCTGGTGAATGATTGTACAGTCCTTTGCTTTCCGCCCGCAATCCCAAGATGGCTGCATCCATGCCGATTTCCCTCGTATTATTAATATGGGAGCTTGTTCCATTCGCACACGACTTCTCCGCCGCAGTATTGTGCCCACTCTCCGAAAAAGAATGTGACTTCTACTGTGAAGCATGGACATGTGACTTACAGCTTTTGTTGGGGGCCGAATTGCCTACTTGAACCCGGAATGTCCCCTTATGCCCTGGTTGTAATTCCATGTTGTTAATTCATGGTCTCATATCAGTCCGGCCCCTCTTGTTGGTTGAACATCCAGGCCTTCAGCAAGATTCCAATTTTTAGCTGGGCTCTTCGAGATAGGCTTCTCCTAGAATGAATGTCTGCCACTGATACTGCCCCAAGTCCATGGCTGGATATGGAACCACAGACCCCTGTCCCCCGCCGGATGAAGGATTTTAGAAGCTCCTCATTTTGTTGTCCATGGAACAAAGTTGGTGGACGAGGTCATGCTCACAAATAGCCATTACAAATAAAGAAACAGATTGATCCAGTTGTTGGCTCGGAAGGTTTGGGGATGTCTTCGCCGAGCCCACATGTGCATTATATGACAAAATGACCATGTATACAATATCACCATTTATAATGTGCATTCAATGGCCATGTTTGATAGCGACACACGCACCTGCAGTCAATCCCGCATTGCACATTGCCGGCACGTCGATGAAATGCTGCTGTTGAAAAGGGAGAGCGTGTCATTAGTCTTTGTCGGAAGGGTGAGTAAGATATGTATGCTGAATTACATCACCCAAACGTGTATCCTCTTTGCACACATGCATTAGCTCACTGACAGATACACATACACCATATGTTCGCGGTATTGGTTTGGGGAAATGGCATTTGGTTGGGGGGCTAGTTAAAGCAATCTACTACATGCTTCTTTCCTCTTCCCTCCCCGCGGGTTGTGCCGCACCTGTTTCTCAGGCACCCCCGACAAGCCGCTCTTTACCGAGCTCGCATACCGCAGCAAGGACATCAAGTTGTGGCTGCACACAACGCCGGGCATCCTCCAAAGCGGGCGGTTTATCTTGGTCCCGTTTACATATGTTCCAAGAGAGTCCCTACTTTTGACACAAACAGAAGCACACACGCACACAAACAGAAGCACACACACGCACGCACGCACGCACGCGCACGCACGCACGCACGCACGCACGCACGCACGCACGCGCACACACACACACACACACACACACACACACACACACACACACACACACATTGAGGCGAATGTATGAACCAACGGATGGACACGATTTGACAAGATAACCGTTTGCTTATAGCTGTCTGTGTGACCCTCCCATGTCAGATCCAAGAGGGAACCCCTCAAAGCAGACACATCTATGTGAAGTTGTGTCAGTATGCTTGGTGGTCTATTGTCGACTTGGAAGAGACATGGGGAACTTAATTGCTAAGTTCCCCACAGGAAGCACCATCATTTTTCATGTGGACTTCGGATGAGAGGAGCATTTCCTTTGGGCTCAGATGTATCAGATGCTTAACATCGTTATTTTCCGATATCTGCAATGCAGCGTGTTAGACAGCAGACTGAGCAAATATTGACATCAGGGATGTATTCAACGAGCGGGTGCGAATGAAGCTGCTGGATGAATGTGAATATCGAAGTTCAGCGGAAGCAGGTTCCTTTGTTTGAAGTGAACCTTATTTGGGTGGGGTGCAAGTTAGAGCTTGGACAAAGGCACCCATCCACCCGCACGCCCTTGGTGCTGTATTATTGTGCCGCTAATTTGCCAGCACGTGCCCTTTTGGCAGACCAAACTTTTCTTTGCGTGCACCACGCGTTGTCTTGGCGATGTTTTTTTTTTCGAGATGGCATGTTGGTATTCCGGAGCCTTTGGTTCCCCCCCCCACATTTCAGCAATTTGCATGGAAAGCAACTGGAATGGCGGTGAAAACCCATGGTTTCTTGCAACCAGAGCTGGGTTCCTTCCCTCTCCTGAGTTCATATTTTTGTGGTTCTGGCGGTTCAAAGTCACAACATGGGCTTTCCCATGCAGGCCGCTATTTGGTAGCTTCGAGAAAGGGTTCGGTGGAGTTTCCTTTCTGGGTGCGTTGTCAGGACGATCTGGACATTTACAACGAGTTCTGTGAGAAGGCGCTGATTTTTGTTCTTTTCTCAAGCTTGCAGCAATTTCTGGAAGGAGGGGGTGGTACAACACCCTTCCCCATACATTTCCATTTGTGGGCCATTATTTTCCCCGTTCAATAGAGGTCGCCTAAAAGTAAAGATTCTTCCCAAGTCCCCAATACGCAGCTACGAAGAATCAGGGAGAATTCCGCACCGCTAATTAACCAACAGTTGTTCTCACTAGGTACTCTCACTAGAGCCAACCAAGAAATCATGTTGCTCACCCCTGGCTTACCCAAATCGTACCCGGATTTGTCTCTGATTCAGTAAGAAACTCAACCTCGATTGACCCGTTCTTGGGTCCCTTCCAGGAATGCACATTGCAGCCAGTTCCTGGGCTGAAAGCTTGCTGAAAAAGCTGTATTTATAGATTGGATTTCTACATCCCCCCACTCAGTTTAGTTGAGATGCCTGCCAAGTCACAGGTTTCGAGTTTTTCCTCACCGCAAGACCAAGCTTTGCTCCTTTTGTGTTGACGGCAAAACCTGAACCCAATGGCATCCCGCCGACCTGTTGGTTGTCAGGATGGTGTTCAAGGAACTCCTTCCATATGTATCTGGGCAGGGGAGATTCTCCGACAGTAATCAGGGGTAAATGACTCATCACGAAGCGGAAGCAGTTTGGTCCCAGGCATCCTTGCCCCCCACCCATACCTACAAACAGGTCTCTCGAGCAGGTGTAAGTTGTGGTGCTCTTTCCCTTGCATGCCTTTAGGCATTCGTTACATGAGGGTGTGAGCTGTTAGAAAGTTTCATTTGCTACGAATAGATGTTATTTCCCCTGTTGGATTTTAGGAAGAGTATGAGAAAGTGAACTCCACGCCTGCCCAGAGTCCGTGGCACTTTCGCTTTCTCGCTCCGCAGGTCGGTATCAAGGGTAGCTCCCTGGCAGCAGGTCGCAGGATGTCGATGGGGTTCAACCACGCAGGCTACTAGATTTCCAGAGTAACCATTGCCTGCGTTTTGTTTGTTCATCTAGTTGGCGTTTGACAGGCGCGTGGCTAACATTGTTCCACACCTCCAGGGGGCAGACCGGTGATTGGCCAACATGTCCAGGCCCAATGACCTCCGTGCTCAAGACCAGGGCAATAAACGTAGAAGTTTTGTGTGTTACATCATCTTTTCTTCTGACATTATGTGCTGCTGCTGCTCTAATATCAGGCGTCTGAATGTCATTGTACAGGTGCTTTGTTGGGCAAGTCATGGCAACTTGCCCTGTGGAGTTGTTTGCTGTTCCATCACAGCCGTCTTAGACATGGTGAAACCAATGGATGGTGCCGCCCTGGCGCTCATGATGCCCTGAGGCAAAAGCACACGTATTGACAGTCTGCGCCTACATTTCCGGGGTGGTTGTTGATTGGCAGACAAGCTATGTGACTATGACCTCGTTGGCCATTGTATCATATTTTGTTGGGGGCTGCTTTTCTGATTGTTGAGCCACCGAACAAACGGATTTGCTGTGATGAGAGATCACTTCAGCACTCGTCCTGGGCACAGGGAACAAGCACTTTCGCCGTACATGCTTTTTAAGCCCTACAGAGGCTCTGAGGGGGTGATTCCCTATGTCAGCCAGAGTTTTGGCGCGATTATTTTATGAACAGAAAGATCCCTGGAGATTATGGGCCCGCTACAGCTAGGGGGGGTGCCCTTTTATGTGTGTGTGTGTGTTTTGTGTTTCTTTGCCAAATTGTGGCCCTGTTAGACGGCTCTGTAAACGTGTCAATCAGAGTTGGCTGGTATTTGGGCAACCATGGTAGGGATCGGGAAACCAGCCAAAATATTTCAACCCTAATTAGGGAGCCTCCTTCAACAGGGTGGAGTGTGTGTCAAATCCCGTATGCCAATCGCGAGGATTCAGCGCATGGGATTGGATTCAGTGCATGGGAATCAGCGCATGGGATGATTTGCAGCTCGAGTATGCGAAGAGCGTTGCTCCTGAGGAGTCATTGCGAAGATCCGAGGGATGATGCAGCTACCTGGCTATCTGTGCTGGAACCGGTTTGGATGCCTGCAAAATCTCGCGATCTCACTGGAAACAATGTTTAGTCCGGAAAGCGCAAACTCCATGTGTTGAAAGAACCAGAAGGCCCAAAAGGCTTGGACCATAGCCAAGGTGACTGAGGATGTTGTTCTTGCCTCCCTTTCTTGGCCTTCACCTCCATTCATCCCAATGGGAAGGCATCCTGCTTGGTGAATCCCTGCAAGCAACGGCACATACAAGGTAAGCTGGATGTACAATGGATAAATGACAGAGGTACTCGGCAATCCAGGGGTTGTTACAGGTAGGAGCTGCAGCACGACTTGCTGTGACTTCTTTGTGTCTGTGTGTGTGTGTTTGCGTGTCCGTGTGTTTGCATGTGTTGCTGTCAATATGCTTGAATGTGTTGATTCCGGCTACGTATATAGCCTTGTGCATAAATGCTTTATCGTCAGACACAGCCAGGCTTTCGAGTCCTGGCATCGCTATTAGAAATTGTGAAGTTATGTGCTTCTAGCAGCCTCCAACTTTAGGACAACACCTGCGGATGGTCGGGTTCATGTCGCAAACGAGAAAATTCAGAGTTCGTGAAGCTTTTCAACGGGTTGGCCAAAGTGTTTCGACGTTGTAAGTAGCGGACAGCCTTTGTGTTTGAGCAGCCCCTATCGCTTTTGATCCATGGGTATCGGTTAAAGATGAGCCTCTCTTGTTGTTTTGTAGTGTTGTTGTCAAGCAGTTAATGTGTTTTCAGCTTGGTCGCCTAAACATGGCTTTGTCAAAGGTGTATCTCAAGGATGTTCCAAGGTTCGCAATCAGGAAAGAGCTTGGCACCTGCCCGTCCAAGGAACATGTGGCGTGACGACTTGGCGCGATTGCTGGAGCCTGCGGAGGCATCATGAATCTGAGTTGGTCGACCGAACAGCTGGCAGCACCAAGGATGTCACTGTCAATTTCATTGAGAGTTTAGCATTAATAAAACAAGATCATGCCTTTGGGGCTCGTTTTGCTGGTGGTCAAGCAAAAGCATATATCCTGCTTTCCGAGATGTTCCGGTTTTTGCGTAGTTTGGGGCATGCGTTTCCCTTCGCAAACTGGGAGGGCTGTGGGATGTTGAGGGCTGGGGCCCAGGCCTATGTACTTGGAAGAGCCAGAGCCGTTTTAAGGGATTGCTAGAATCACCAAATTCTGGGCTGGTTTGTAGTTGATTGCCTTTTAATTGAGATTACTTGAGATGAATTCGAGGATGCTCTCCTTCAAGGAATTCTGTTTCTGAGTCAGCTTGCACTAAATTGGCCGTTCATGAAATTTGCTTGGAGATTGATAAAGCATGTTTTCACATGCCTAGGGTCAACACCTTGCTACTGGCATAGTTGAACTGAACGCCATTGAGGTACCTCCATGTGTCCTTTAGCGGGTACCCCCTTCGACGCGGCCAGCTCTCACAGCTAGGTGGACAACATCCGAAAGGCGGAGAATCCCATCGGCATGGCCATCAACCGCATTCGCACCATCGAGCGGGAGTCCGGACGCCCCAAGGAGCTTTCAAAGCAAAGGAGTAGCTCCAAACAGGCGTTCAATTTCCTGAGACGGAACCGTGTGGTTTGTTTCTGTTATGATTGCAAGCAACTTTCCGCAATTCTTGGATGAACAAAGTGCCAAGCACTGGAGAAAACGCCTTTTGCTTCCTGAGAGCTTGTTGCTGTCAAAAACAAATGCAACAGCAGGAGCCAGTTTGAATTATTGAGCCGTTCTTTGACCGCAACCTTTTGATTCGGCCCCGTTCTCACCTTGTGTTCATCCATGCATTGTTGAGTGCAAATAGCAGCTTGGAGATCCACCTTCGACCTGTCCCAGAGCGTCCAAGAACTAAGGATGTACTTTTGACTCTCATTCACTACTTGAGAATGAAGTCTTGGAAGGTACTTGACCCTTTGAGTACGCATTTCGCAGTTTCGAGAAGGAACCGTTCCCAGAAATGCGAAACTTTCGCAGGAGATGGCCCAGCGCAAAGGCAGCGGCAAAGGCAATGAGGCGGGCGATATTCATTCACTGTTCTTGGCCTGTTTTGGTGCTTCGTTGGTTCTGTAGGGTTCTGTAGGGTTCTGCACGGTTTTTTGTTGGGGGGGGTGGGGGTTCTGATCTTTGCTTTTGGATTTTTCTTGTTTGTGTGTGTTTTTTTGGGGGGGTGGGTCGCAGAAAACAGCGGATTTTTGCCCACCATGCAAGGGACGGGGAAGATGCCTTTGGTTGTTTGAGCCCAAAGGGAGCCCGAGATCATGTCGAATTCCTGGCACCTGCACAACGTTCCTTCGTGTGCGCTTTGGTCACTTGTCTCGCAGGTTCGGATGTCACCTAACGTAGAAAGATGCCCCACAAGCATAAAAGGCCTGACTACTCTTTGCACACAATCATGAACAATTGTACGTGGCAAGTCGTGTGTCAAAACCAGTCGGATTCCCTTGGTTAGCGTCCCTCATTGGTTCCCTTTTGGTTCTTCAAAAGTGGTGGGAATGCCACTTTTGAGGGATAACCTACTAAACAAAGCAAAACAAGAGCGGCCAACCCGGGACCAGCTTGTTTTTGAAACATCCGTCAAAGATCTCCAAAGATCCCTCATGATGCATTTGATGCGTTTTTCTCAAGCCGTCTAGTTCTAGGGAGTCCCCCAACCCACCCCCTCCCCCCTTTCGTTGGAAAACAGGGGATGGTTTCTTTGAGGTGTATCCCGAAACCATTTATCACTCCACAACAAGCCAGCGAAGCCAGCCCCCAGTTGACCCATCATTTACGTTTTTTGCCGCAGTTTACAGCCCGCTTGTTTCTTCCGAACGGAAGGCAAGGAAGGTGCATGGGTGCGTGGTTGCGCAGCGAAACCGAAGTCATCATGGATGTCAAGGGCCGTCCAAGGGTGCAAACAAGGAATTTGTGAGGAGTTGTGGTCGGCGTACCTGCAATTGTTTTAGGAATCCGCAGGATGAGGCTCGACATGCTGTGGCTGCTCTTTGGTGTGGCCTTAGCCTCTTAGCCCTTTAACAGACTGGTTAAAACCTTCTGCTCCAGGGGGGAAGGGCAACCCAGATGCCCCGAAAGACTTTCGACGCCGTGGCCCCCTGTCGAGCTTCAAGACACGAAGTTTGCCTTGGGCCGCCCGAAGCACACGCTCCTCAAAATGACCAACTGCCCGAAGAATGCCCAAAGATAGCTCGCGACATGCATTTGTTTCTGGTGCATGAATGGCAGGCATGCTGTTATTTTGGGCTGTCGCGTAGGCCTTGTCAAATTAAGGAGCGGTGTCCGGGTACAGTTCGCGAACACAAAGCGCTCATATATATATATAATACAGTTGATGCGATCATACAAACAAATAGCCGCAAGTGATGAGCGGGTGCGATTGAGCATTTTGCCTCCAGTCCAAGCTTGCCAGACTTGTTACATTGCTTTTGTGAATGGGCAAGAGGTCCTTCGACGTCTCATGGGTTTGTTGGCGAAGCCAGCCAGAGTTTGCCTCTTGCAAAGCATCAGGTCATGCTTTGATTTTCTTCCCCCGAAGTAATGAGTTCCCAAGAAATGCAGAAGCCTTTTTCAATTGTGTCTTGTCTCGGAAAGGATTCAGACCATAAACCCCGCACATCGCCAGGCGCAAAGTAGCCAACCAAAGGGCCGCAGCCGCAGCCGGAGGCAAATGTCCATCGGGGGCCTTTGGTTCAATCGGGGCCGTTTTATTGGACCATCAGGAGATTGATCTGCCGATTTTATTGCGAGCTCAGCTGGGACGTGGGGGAATTATAGTAGCATTTGCAGATTGGTCAACTTCTGATTTGGAGAATCATTGTTCTCCACTGACCCACAAGTGTTGCATCGTCATGTCTCAAATGTCAGCAATCCAACTTCCACCGGTGCAGGTCCAGATACCTGAACCGTAGAACATTTGGGGTGGCCTCTCTGTATGGGGGAACGCAAATCTATTTTAGGGTGCCTTAGAATTGTATTTCGGATCTATCAGAGGTTGGCAGCCCGCTGCAAAGTCGCAGATCCGGAAATTGGATTGTTCCTTCGACTTCACCAAATTGTTTCTTTAGCTCTCGTATTTGCTGTTGTTTTGGAAGTCCACAGAAAGCGAGTTATGGAGCCAAGGATGTCTGCCACTGCGCCGTGAAACTGTAAGAGGCTGAGTAGGAATGGCTGTCAACCACGCGCATTTGGGTGAGGCTTCCAGCTGAGTACATCGAGACCACCCCCATTATATTGACGGATGCGAGAAGACACTGTTCGAGGGTGGAGCCTTGCAATTGTTCGACTCTGGGCATCAACGTTGAGCCTGTTGTAGGTTCAAATTCCCGCTGAGCCATTGAGTGCTTCTGCGGAACAAGACCGGCTCAACGACCTCGGTACTCTGGTTGTATAGCTGCAGCTGTTGTTGTGGTTGTGGTTGTGGTTGTCATTGTTGCTGATTGCTGGTTGCTTGACTGTGGTTTCGAGGTACATTGAATTCTTTAGGTAAATGCCTCATCATGGTGGCTTTTTTGCGGCGACCACTTGGCACTTTTCGCCAGGAGTCTGCCCCGGGCACGGCGAGAGGATCGTTCACCGCGGTGAATCTGAATCGCAGACGCTTGGCCCGGTCGAAGGGAAGCTTGTCCACCGGATCTAGAAATGGGATACTTGCGGCCATGACCACATGCACGCTGCACTGGCGACTACACACACGATGCAATTAGGTGTGGCTGTTGTTACCCGGCTTTCAAGCTTGCATGAAGCTGGCGGGTCCATTTTCATAGCGTACAAGCACACGGAATCTTCTTCAGATCCCTTTCCTGACAAAAGGAAACACTTTGCGAACACTAAACTCGGGTGAGGCCTGAAAAAGGATTTGCTTCCCATGTTTGCTGCTATCACCAAGCAAATGATGCTGAATGTGTTGTACAGCCGCACATTGTGAACAAAAGGGTTGACCACTGGCACCGCCACCCTGATTATATTATGTACGCGCACCATACCAGACAGGTCTTTTACTCCAATCATGCTGAAGCGCACTGAGGTGTCAAATAGACCAACTGAAAATCAGTCTAGGCGAGCACTTGCTCTAAGTGTCTTACGTCTTTCGTTCCAGTTTCAGGGGGCAACACTGGTGTCGTTCTGGTTCCCTTTTGGAAAGATAAACCATTGTAGTTTCATAGCTGTTTGTATGATGCTACTGGTGCTATGATTTGGTGAGGACATACACTGACCTGGGAAATACGGGCTGCCACAAGAGGCAACGGCTTCATTGGCTTTTCCCAAGTTGCATCGATCGGGGCTTTGCTTTACATTGCCAATGCGTCATGTGGCCGAATCCTCGAGCTTGTGTGATTCCTGGGGAGCGGAGCTTTGGACTCATGGTGTGGGACCAGGCTCCTTTCAGTGGCCGGGTCTTTTTCGGGATATCTACTTGGAGCTTCGTCGTTGCGGCGGGACCAAAAACGAGCCGAGAGAGAAAAGTCCGTGCGCGAGTCGTGTTGACGCTTCGCACTGAGTGATGCAGTCGGGTTCTTAAGGATTGGTTTCCTTGGTCGATCCTCTCTCAAGCATTGAAGCACAGGTCCATTGTGTGTGTGTGTGCGAGGCATGTTCGAAAGACCGGGGCTAGGAATGGTCATGGACTATTCAGCTTGAGGCTAGACAGCATTTGGACATATTCAGAGTCCTATCAAGGGAGACACGACCATGGCTCACGCAAGGGGCTTTGACTATGACACAGGTCTTGTTTCCCAAGCTGGGTTGGCTATTAATGGGCTGCGCGCACAAGCTTCGATCAACAGATAGGTGCTCGTCTTGTTTTGTTTGTTCTGGGAATCTATCAGATTGGTGTTTTTTGCTGCCCTGCAAGCAGTGTTGATGCAGGATGAAGCAAGCATTGACATGCTGATGTTCAATCATGGCTGAGGATAGTTGTAATAAGCGATAGACATTGATGGCGCAACTCGGCTCCCTCCGGTACTCTCCGCTGTGCAACAGAGAACGTGGTTGCTTCAATGTTGTTTTCTTGCTCTTTGGGCACTTGTCATTTCTGGTGAGGGCTAGTTCGCTACTTTACTAGCTGCGCTGCGAGGTTCCAGTCTCTTTGAACGTCTGACAGCACTGCGCATCCTTTGCTTCCCTTTCCGCACCATTCTAGCTGTTTCCTGCCACTGGGAAACGCTGAACACCGCCCCATGCAGAGGGGTTCACCTCCAAAACGGGTCTGTGTGCGTGTGTGACCCGCGCAGGGATGAAGCCCACGCGCGGTGCCTCGGTGGCCTCCTGGTACACTTTTCTCATGGGACGCGGCGGGTCGCCAAGAAGGGAGACCCGGTTTGCTTTTTTTCATGCGTCGCCGCATTTACGGGGGGTCCCAAAATGCATCTCCAGTGCCCAAAGCAGGTGCTCTCCTAAGGGGCGCCACATAAAACTAGCCATGCGCGGGGATGCACACATACCCACTTAGCACAATGACTTCCTTGTACAGGGAACCCTGTCGCATTGCAGGTTGACCAGAGGGCGAATGATGATGCCCAGCCTTCTTAGTGGGTGACCATTGATCAACATTGGGTCAGTTGGGGCGGTGTACATCGCGTATTTCGGGCAGCCGGCTGCAAGCAACCACTGCCTTGCAGCTAACACTGCTGGCTTTGTAGATGTCACCTTTGTCCTTGTCGTTGTGCAAGGAACATGGGTGCTGCCAATACTTTTTTGCAGCATGCGGACACCCTGCATGCTGTCACTCTGACGGGCGTGCAGCCTTACAGCACTCACGGTCGGTCTCTTCGGGAGCTTTGCGGTTGTGCTTTTCCTGCGCGGAGGTACTGCCAGAGATGCGGCTGCAAACATGAATGTAGAAGCAAAGCAGCACAAGACCAAACCAGGTGCCGAAAAGAGTAAAGAACGCGACTTTGATGGCTCAAAGCCCTTCCACGTAGTCTTCCGGTTGTTTGGCTTATGTATTGTTACATGATTTGATTCAGGCTGCCCATGCGTTTTTGTTGGCTATGGCGCAGTATCACATGCCGTTGTGATAGTGCTGGCCAGCATGTGTTGTCATTCCAACGAATCTATTTGAATACAACTAAACTAGTTCACTGGGGGCAGCAACATACCTGCAGATACAACGCGAAAGCCAATTATGTTCGCAACGATTTAGTATTGGGTTCAGAAGGGCTGTTCAACAATCATTGCAGGGGTCTCAAGAGTATATGTTTGTCCGTTGGTTTACTGCCGGAAATAATCCAAAGGAACCAAGCACTGGTCGCATCGCTTCGATGGCGTCTGAGGGATGCACGAGGTGGCATTCTGGAACTGAGCGCGGCATCACCACAGCAAGCTTGGCAAACATGAATAAAACATTGGCCGTAGCCGATGCCATGGCTACAACTCCATCCAAATCACTAAGCAGCGCTCAAATCCCTGCTGGCGGTTTTCGTAGGTTGTTTACAGGAGTGCGGGTTAGCGACCCAAAGCCCAAAACCCAACACCCAAAACCAACAACCCAAATCCCAAATCCCAAATCCCGAAACCATAGTATAGCTCATGAGAACCTTTATGACCATGTTGGTAGCAATACCAATCACTGTGTTTCGGGCGCTGCCCAACTGGCTGGGATGGTTGTCTTTGGCGCAAACCATTCATCTAAAACCCATAGGACCGGACTGTTCAATTCTTCCGCCCCACCTTTGGAGTGCCTCAAAAGGGGGTCCCCCCCCCTGTTCAACGTGAGTGATGAGCAACTCAAGAGGGAGGGGGCCGAACATCTGACACGGAAGTCTAATTTCACTGTTGTTCCTTCAACCATCTTCCGACAGGGGGTTCAAGCAAGTTTAGTTCACACACACACATCCCTGGGGTGGGGGGCAGCACCTCACCGATCATCTCACGCATGCGGCACCTGCCAGCTCGAAGGTCGCCGGTGTCGCCGGGCAAGTCCACTGTGGCGGACTTCGAGGAGGTGCCAACGAATCGCCGGGGGGCGGTGCAGGCGCTGTTTGCTGGTTTGCCAGCTGTTCTGCAGCCGTTGTTTTCTCCACATGCAACGGCCAAGCCGCGCGTTTTGGTGGTCAGTCTAAGCTTTGGAGCCCGGGTTTTGGCCCAAGCACTGGGTTTGATGTGGAAAAAGCCGCCAGGCATGTGGTTTGCTCACCGCTCAATTGGGCATTTCCTTGGAGAGTAAACATGGGGAGGACAAACAAGTTCAGCAGCTTCACAATGTTGGGGAAACATTGGACAGTTGAATTTGGTTTTTAGATTTTGAAGATCCCAATTTGCGACCCTCCCGCAAGGGTTGCAGCCAAATGAAGCGGGAAGTGCCACAACGTGCTTTCTTCATTTGTCTCCCGGGCAATTTGCACCTTCTGTCACTTGACAGAGTCTATCTCGCCATTGAGCAGTGAGCTTGATTGACTCAGGTACCACCGTCTCACGCGAAAAGCTGGGGCTCAAAGTGTTGGGCAAGCATTGCATGATGCCAGAAGCATGCTTATCTAATCAACGCCTTGCAATTATGATGGTAGAAGCAACAACGACAAACCATAATTAGGTGACATCCATGAAGTTCCGCAAGGTAACGTTGGGAATCAAGCCTTTGCATACCGGTGTTGTGTGCTTCCAGGCACTTGCAAAAGGATATCCAAATGTAGCCATCATGTTAGGTCCGAAACTCAGCGCCATGCAGTGCAGCGACGGTCGTTGATGAACAGCCGAAGCGCTCGTGACAACCCCCGTTGCTGCCAACGCGCAACCACACAGCATCCCGTGGGCACATATCCAGCAACGGCCCCCCTCCCCCCCGGGATGGACTGAGATTCAAAGGAATGCAGAAACACTGGTTGATTAACCAGGCCTCTGCCGCCGACCCTCATTAGCGGAAAACGCAAACAACTGGGAGCTCCTCTCAGGACCGGCCCAGGATCCAGTTGCATCCCACGCCGGTCCCCTCTGACTGGGACGGGCGTCGAGTTGGTCGATGAGTCAGAGGGGCAGGGGAGCGATGGCAGGTGCGTCTCGCCATGATCCAGGGCGCTCTGGACCTGTGGCGCTTTGACTTGATTGGAGAGGGCAACGGGAAGGATGGGGGGAAGTGGGGGTTTATGGGTAAATGGATTTTGGACCCAGTGGGCAGGAGGACACGGCCGAGCCAACAGGGGCAGATTTGATTGTTGGGCATGTTCAAAGATCGGCATTCTCTCACCTTTCCTTCCTTTCTCGATAGTGTTTCACTGGAATAGAGAGTAAAGTTGACTCCCTTCTTCACGATGGTTGTCCAAATGCTTGACAAGCATTCAGATACCGTCACCAAGAGTCTTGTTTGGATTCAATGGCTGGAAGCATGTTCTTGTTTTTAGGAGTGGCTGGCAGCTTAGCAGCTTTGCTTTGCTTGCTGGGTTTGGTTTGTGGGTGGGTGGGTCGGTGGGTCAGCCGGTTGGTCTGCAGAGAGGAGAGTTGGTTCTGCTTGGGGAGATGAAGCTGAGCAACATCCTCACTGCGCCCTGCACTCCTGTCTTTTTGCTTGACTGTTGAACACTTTCCAAGATGGTTCCTGCACGCAGTCATCTGGACCTGTAACACATTTTGCAAGCAACCGATGTTGAGCAGGGAGTGCTTTCTGACCTGCTTTCGACCATCGTGCCCCGCCCACACATTCACAGAGGCACCTGCCCCTCAAGTTGTTCAGCCGAACCACCATGTGCGGAGCTTTTCTGTAATGTAATTTTGCAAAGCCTGAATGAAACAAATCGCACCGTGAGCCAAGTTGAGACACTTGCATTTAAAACCATACTTGCCGCGTTCTTCCTGACCGCAATCAGCTGGGTTGCTGTTACTCAAGTTTGACCCACCCTCTAAACTACCGTTTTTCTAGCAATCTGCCTGTGGTCGCAGTAGAACAAGAGGAAAAAAGGCCAATGTCTCCTTCATCGGCATCCCCCCCCCAGAGGGGGGTGAGCAATCGCAACGATTGGACCGGTTCAACGGCTCGCGTGCGTTTTGGCCGGCAGGCAGCACACCATGGCGAGCAAGTTGGCTCATCGAATGGCGCGCTGTCCCAGTGGCTATTTGGGTGTGTCGTTTCTTAGGGCAACCCCCCCGAAGAAAAACATTCAAACAACGGTGGTTTTCCTTTTGGTTTCCCTTTCAAGCCACCCCAAAGGGGGGTTCCCGAAAAAGAGACACCCCCTTTTTAGTCAGTTTGTCAGTTACAATGAGCTTTTCCTGCGTCAAACCAGAGGTCGCACGGTGCTTTCGGTGGAAAGATGCCTGGTAACAGAAGAAGCTGTGGGTTTGGTCTGACCCAAACCCGCTTGAACCCCCGCCATCCGCTGGGCTTTTCGTTGCGGAAGGCCAGGGTTGGAATGGCCGGCACATGGTCCGTGTCGATCTTGTTGCCAACTTGTGGCTTTTTCGGGGGTTGCCAGCCAGTGCTCGGAGGTTTCATTGCCAGTTCCGAGTCATGGTCCCTTTGAGAGGAGCCCCA